AGGGGCTCTTTTTGATAAGTGGTGTGCTGCTAACGGAGTTGGGGATGATTATGAGTCTCTGCGCGAGTTAATGCTACTGGAGGATTTTAAAAATTCATTACCTGAGAGATCATAATGTTCTTAAATGAACAGAAGGTGACGTCAATGTCCAAAGCAGCCGTGTTGGCCGATGAGTTTGTGTTAACACATAAGAATGTTTTTACCCCTATTTCCCATCCAGATAGGCCCACAGCCTTGCGCTCAGCCAGTCTACTGCCATTGTCCAGGGAGTAGAACTTGGATTTGTATCTGCCCCTTTGCACACTATTCACATTCAGTCTTCCTTAGTCAGTGGGATTGTTAAAGTGGCTATTCGTTCTGCATTGCCTATCCCAGGTATTGACTTCATCCTAGGTAATGACCTTGCCTCCAGCAAGGTCATTACCTAGGATGCTTGTCTAACACTTCCGTTCCTGAAGTGTTAGACAGACCCGAGCTGAGTCCTGGACTCTGACTCAGCCAAGACCAGCCTGCCATTTTTCCAGCTTGTGTAGTTACGAGGGCCCAGACAAAAAAGTATGGTCCTGACTTGGCCGATTCCTTTATGAGGTCAGATCCCTTTGGTGACGTGATCACATTTACCTCTGGATCTAAGGTTCAGGCCACAGTTCCACCTGCTGACAAAACACAACCAATCCTGGATTTGCCAGTCTCCCGAGAGGAGTTCATTACTGCACAGAAAAATGATGTAACCCTGTCCAAGTGTCATTCTTCTACCCTCAGTCAACAGGATGCCAAGAAGAAAAAGCTGGCTTACTTCTCAGATGAAGGTCTTCTGATGCGCAGATGGACAAGTGAGGTCTCAGAAGACGCAGACTGGTCTGCAGTTTATCAGGTGGTTGTACCTACTGCCTATCGTACCCAGGTATTGTCCTTAGCACATGACCATCCATGGTCAGGACATTTGGGGGTTAACAAGACATACAGCAGAATTCTGAAACATTTCTTCTGGCCAGGACTGAAATCTGATGTTGTTCAATACTGCCGTACTTGCCATGTATGCCAAATGACTGGCAAGCCAAACCAAATAATCCCCAGCTCCTCTCTGTCCTATCCCAGTAGTAGAGGAGCCATTTCAAAAAGTGATTGTTGACTGTGTGGGGCCTCTACCTAAAGCTAAAACTGGAAACCAGTTTCTTTTGACTGTCATGTGCGTTTCAACCAGGTTTCCCGAGGCAATCCCACTACGGAGGATTACAGCTCAGATTGTTGTCAAAGCGCTGTTGAGATTCTTTTCAACCTTTGGTCTGCCTAAGGTTGTGCAAACAGACCAAGGCACTAACTTTAAGTCTAGAGTATTTGCCCAAGCCCGGAAAACATTAGGCATTGAACACATAACCTCGAATTCTTACCATCCTGAAAGTCAGGGGGCGCTAGAGAGGTTTCATCAGACTTTGAAGTCCATGTTAAGGAAACACTGTTATAGTTCTCAACGAGACTGGGATGAAAGTGTTCCTCTTGTTTTATTTGCCTGTCGTGAAGCAACCCAAGAATCTCTGGGATTTAGTCCCAGTGAACTTGTGTTTGGGCGTGAGATGAGGGGTCCTTTAAAGGTTTTTAAAGAGGCTGGCTTATCTGGTGGATAACACCAAAAGCCTTCCAGAGTATGTCAAAACACTAAATGACAGGTTAAAGAGGGCTTATTCCTTAACAAGGAATGTACTAGCCACTTCACAAGCGAAAATGAAGAGACACTTTGATCAGCGGGCTGTTGACCGTTCATCCCAGCCAGGTGACAGAGTGCTCCTTCTCCTTCCGGTGCCCGGCTCCTCTCTTTCCGTTAAATTCTCTGGTCCTTATGTTGTAGAGAGAAAATTCAGCAAGACCAACTACATTATTCATAACCCGGATCGCAGACGTCCTACTCGGGTGTGTCATGTCAACATGATGAAGCTGTACAACTCTCATGAACCTTCCACAGATGGCACTGTGGTCCAAGAGCAAGTGGTTACATCCCGGATGGTTTCTGTGTCCAAGGTGGAGATTACTTCAGATGAAGATGGGTTGGTGTTACGGGGTGCTGAGCCTCAAAGTGCTCGATTAGGTAATTCTGTGATATTGTCAACACTATCACAATACCTGTCCCACCTTCCTGCTGAACAGAGCAATGATATCATAACACTCATATTGGGATTCCCATCTCTGTTCGATGACATCCCGTCCCAAACCACTGTCATAAATGGTAAATGGTAAATGGCCTGTATTTATATAGCGCTTTACTAGTCCCTAAGGACCCCAAAGCGCTTTACATATCCAGTCATCCACCCATTCACACATACATTCTGTCACGGTTTGCCGGGGCAAGCCGTGTGGAATATGAAATAGGACCCAAAATGCGGCAGCTCTGGTGCAGATGAGTGTTTATTTACAGGGGTGTGAGTACAAACAGCGGTGGCGACAAAACATGAAACCGGAAACCTAAACTGGGTAAACTAATAAGACAAACCAGAATGAGGATGCAGGGAGGTCCGGAGAAATACATACAGGGAGAGCGAGGGGAAACAACACAGACGAACCAGCGATTACCAAGACAGAATATACAACTTAAATACACTCAGAGAACACAGGGAGATTACACACAGGTGGGAGACACAGCTGGGAGTGATTAACATGACGAGACCAGGGAGGCAAACTGAAAACACTCACATAAGACGCAGACCTTCACAATAAAACAGGAACACACGGGGGGGAACAGGGTAAACACCAATTAGAGAACAGAACCAAAATCGCGAAGAGAAAACACAAAACGCTGGGTCAAAAGGACCCAGGATCATGACACATTCACACACTGGTGATGGCAGCTACATTGTAGCCACAGCCACCTTGGGGCGCATTGACAGAGGCGAGGCTGCCGGACACTGGCGCCACCGGGCCCTCTGACCATAAAACATGATGTGGTGCTAACTAACCCTACACCAATCAAACATTGTGCTTATCGGGTTAGTCCAGCAAAGAGGGAAATCATAAAACAGGAAGTTGAGTATCTCTCTTCAGAATGGATTCGCAGTTCCAAGCTCCAGCTCTTGGAGTTCACCATGTCTCCTAGACACGAAGTCAGATGGAAACCCAAGATTCTGTACTGACTTCTGAAAGGTGAACTCTGTCACTGTCCCAGATGCACATCACTTACCTCAATCGATGACTGCATTGATGAAATTGGGCCTGCAAAATACATCACTAAACTTGATATGTTAAAAGGGTATTGGCAAGTGCCTTTGACACAGCAAGCATCTGACATTTCAGCTTTTGTCACTCCTGACCACTTCCTGCAGTATACGGTTATGCCTTTTGGCATGTGCAATGCCCCTGCAACATTTCAGAGACTGGTCAATAAAGTGTTGGGAAGCATCCCCAACTGCAGAGCATACTTGGATGACATCGTTGTGTATAGCAGTGACTGGTCAACCCACATGGCTACATTGAAAGAAGTCTTCATTAGCCTAGAAAATGCATCTCTCACTTTGAACCTTGCCAAATGTGATTTTGCTAGAGGCAGTGTCCTCTACCTTGGCCAGCAAGTTGGTCTAGGAAAAGTGCGCCCTGCAGATGCCAAAGTCACTGCGATTAGGGAGTTCCCCCAACCAACCACCAGGAGAGAACTGCGGCGGTTCCTTGGGATGACAGGATATTACCGACGATTTTGTAAGAATTTCTCTTCTGTTGCTGCCCCTCTCACTGACTTAACCAGTCCCTCAAAGCCGTTTATTTGGTCTGAGAGTTGCCAGCAGGCTTTCGAAAGCCTTAAGGGCTTACTTTGTTGCACCCCTGTTTTGTCTGCTCCTAACTTCTCTTTACCATTCAAACTGGAAATAGATGCCAGCGCAGTTGGGGCAGGAGCGGTGCTTCTCCAGGAGGATACCCAGGGCATTGACCATCCTGTAAGTTACTTCTCTCGGAAGTTTGATAAACATCAGCTCAGGTATTCTACCATTGAAAAGGAGACCCTTGCTTTGTTGTGGGCCTTGCAACATTTTGAAGTTTATATAGAGTCATGTCAGAGTTCAGTTCAAGTATTCACAGATCAAAACCCTTTAGTTTTCCTCTCTAGAATGTATAATCGCAACCAGCGGCTTATGCGTTGGTCACTGATTATTCAGAATTATCCCCTCAATATCCATCACAATAAAGGGTCAGAAAACATTGTAGCAGACGCTGTCTCCCGTGCCGTTTAGAGATGTCACCAAACCCTGAGTTTAGTTCTTAAAGGGTGGGGGTGTTACGTGCCAAGAGATGTGGCTTTACTTTTGGTGTTCTTTTTATCTTTAAGGTGTCAAGTCTCCACCTATTGGCCAGTTCAAAGTTGATTGGCATGTTTCTATTGGCTGGTCTGGGCACAGTTGGCCAATCACTCTCTGAGGATCACTACAAATGAGCAGCTCCCTGGCCAGCTGCTGGCTGCTGCTTTATGACAAACATTTGCGAACAGGCTTCTTTGTATTGTGTGTGGTGGGAGGCTGGACAGGTAAGCTGGGGTACCCTATACACTGGTTGCAGGTTTTAAACTGTTAGTCACACTAGGTTATGATTGATTGTGGTTGTCCAGTGTTGCTGTCTCCTTCCTATCTTTGCCTCCACCATGGTGGGGGGGACGTAACACATTTGTTATTGCACATTATACTTCTCAGCTGGAGCATTTAACGCCAAACATTAACTGACATCAGCTGATGGTAGTGCCAGTGCACCGGAAGAAAAATACATATTTGATGCTTTCTATCTATCTGTCCCTGCAAACGACCAAAAACCCTTTGCAAAGTAAGTAATAACCCAAAATTAGCTGTAATGTGATTATTTAATTTAGCACAGTAACACATTGTATTGCCATGTGACTAAAAAGTGCAATATGATTAGAGTAACACATTACTCAGGAATGCATTACAGCTAATTTTGGGTTACTTATAAAGACAAGTTTACATTACACTACAGAATTTTAGTGCAAAAATAATAGTATAATATAACATGCATATGTTGCATAGATTTATTGCTATAAAACAAAAACAAAACAAAACATTTTCTCCCAACATTAAAATGCACCTGACATTTGAATGGCAAGAGAGGGAGTTTGCCAAATAAGACATTTAAACAATCACTCAACAATGTTGGCTTGCATGACAGAAACTTTCTCAGAGTTTCTCTGCACACACAGTATGTTGTACATCCTCCAAATTTTAGTTATTCTTTAAAGTAAAATACAAAGGAATGCTTTCAAATTCTGTCTTGCCAATGAACTGGAAAGGTGACCTTGAGTACAACAGAATCACTCATAATAACAAGTTCTGCCAGTAATATCTGCCAGACAATTGATTTTCCCGATTTGAGGGACAGTATTCATGCACTTGGTATGCTTCACTCACTTTTCTTTGTCTATATAAGCAAGAAGCTTGCTTTACAGTTTTCTGGTTACCAGGCTTGTCAGAGTGACCTCTGCTTCTCGAGCTGAAGAACTGATAACACCTCTTGACAGTTCAGTCATACTGCTGCTTCACATTATGTTAAACCAAGTACATCCTTGAATTGTTGTCTTTATTCAGTCACTTTTGACTTCTGTCCATGCAAAGCTTTTATGGGCCAACTCTCACTTGTTGAATATTTGTCACAGAGAGACTGTGGGCTGTTCCATTCAGGATCTGGTTGCTAAAAAACTAAAAAGAGAGAAAACACAAAGACTAAACATCTAAATATTTACTTGAGTTTCAAAAGCAAGTTTAAATAATCCACAAAGAAAACAAATTTTAAATATATTATATGAATATAATAATATAATTTTATAGGCATACCTCTTCAATACGTTTAATGATGGTTGCATTGCTGACCACTCCGTAGGTAGTTATCCTCATCTTCATATGTGCCAGTGCTTGCAGGGCTTTAGAGTTTGAAAACATTGCATTTAGAAGTCAATAATAAAATAATATAAAGAATATACATTTTTTTTAAATGCAATTCAGTCTCACTTTGTGACACACTTCTGGTTCTTTTAGAACAATATGATTAATTAATAACCTGAAAGTACTGATTTAATTTACAGCTGAAACCCATATATATTTTTGTATTTTAAGAAACAAATGTGTTGCCATTGGCAAAAGGACAATGTAAAGATAAAGTATTTTTTGTAACAATTTCATTTTAAAAATCTCATTCAATCTGTTGCTGAAACTGGTAAAAACTTTATGTTACTTGCATAACCTCAGTTGTCAGAGTAGCATAAGTGAGACGTCTCACTATGGGATGCACCTCCCTGTGTTTTCCTCACAAACATTTGTCTCATTCCACCAATTCTAACTAGCTGGTGAGTGGAACGACCTTAGCAGAACAACACACCTTAAGTAGCTTGTGTACTGTAAGCCTGGTTACCAATATAACAGTAATACAACAGAAAAATAGACCTTGCAGAAAAAGAAGGTTGCCATCTCCAGTTCATGCAAATGCATATGTGCACTGGTGTTAATATCATCTTCACATAACAATGCAAATTATGGTGATTAAAAACATTTTAAGTAAAGTTAAAATAGAAAAACAGCCCTCTGGCTGAACTATTTTCCGTGTTTCTCTGTGACGTAATTCTAGCTGATATTCTCTTTCTAACACCACTGAGCAGCTCAATGGCAACTGGAGTTTAACTTTATCTGCATACAGGCACTTTTTAACACCTGCTGCTGATTTTTAAAAACACACCCATGTTACCTGGTGATATTCACAGTTTAATTGCCTGCTCAGTTATATGTATGATTTCCTCAGACAGCTGACCTGCTTCTGTTTACCATAGAGCACTTGGAGATGATCAGTGACTTTAAATGGAGCTCCAGGTTGGGGAGGAGGGGAGGAGGGGGGCAGCGGCTGCATTATAGTCACCAGTTTATTTCTTCAAAAGAAGAAAAAGGGGGCAGGGAGAATGCTTTTAAGGTAATAGATCAGATGATGCAAACACCTTGGGCACATAGGCTGGGTTGGGTTTTAGCAAAGTGAGTGCACAAGGGCATGAATGTCAATTGATGGCTATCAAGTTAATGATTTGTTTTTCACAGAAACCATCATTTGTAATTATTAGCAGGCAGCTATCTAAACTAAACTGTGACTATCCTCCTGAGAGGATCTTTTTATGTATGTCCTCTGTGGTTGACACACAAATCACAAAAAAATACCCCCAGAAAGATACTTTTTCCCCCTCCATTCTCAGAAGTGTATCACCGGTTAATATAGGTGTGCTTTCTAAATCAGCAGCAGGTGTTAAACAGACAAAGTGACCAAGATGTATGCGGGAAAACCTTTACAGCTTTACCTGCTCGGTGTTGTTAGAAGAAAAAAAAGCCCACTTGTTATTTATGTCACACAAATACGGGTATGAGTCCAGCCAGAGGGCTGTTTTACTATTTTAACTTTATTAAAAATATGTCTAATCAATATAATTTGCAATGTTTTCTGAATATAATACCAATACCTATGCAAGAATGAATATGCATGAACTGGAGATGGTGACAGTCTTTTTTGCAACGTCTTTCTTCTGGTCAAATCATGTGATATGCACACAGAAATTGATACATTTGGAAAATGAAGACTGGAATATATGAGCAAAGCCAGTTAATGAATTAACCAGTTCAACTAGAACATCGTTTTCCTTTCTTTAAAGAGGCAGGAACTGTTTATTATTTTTCTTTGTCATAATTCTTTTGCTGTAAATGATTTGTTTTCTTCATGCTCTGTTGTGCAGCCCATGTTTTTTCATCAAAAGAGCTATCTGCATGTCGGACAAGGCCTGGGTTAACCCCAGTGCTTTCTCTCTTTGAATGTGTGATGGCTGCAGATAACATTCACACACACAATATCGGATGGCAAGCCTGGCCCATCAGACTCAAACTGGAAGACTCTACAGCAACTGGATCAGGATCAGCAAACTGATATTGCTCATAAAAAGACACATAATCTATCTCTGATGGGTTTAATAGCAACACCATCATCCCCATAGATTTACCTATGGTTTGGACGGCACAGTGCTATGCATAGAGGCAAATATCAGTAAACTCAGTGATTTCTTCCTACAGATTCCAGTCAGGTTTGGATGCCATGTCCTTGGATAGCTCTGCTAGGTAAGCAGCGAACATGAAGTAAACACATTAATGCCCTTACCACTTCAGCTGCCACTTCATAGTGACTTTCAGTTACGGCAGTCTGAAAGTGGTCTGCCTCTGACACGAGTGTGGTAGCTATAGATTGAGGTAGGCTGCAACTAACAGCTTTCTTTGGACATGTGAAGTAAGCAGTGCTTCTCCATGTTTCTCAGTCCCCCTCAAAATCCAGGGAAAAAGCTTCTTGTATTTGGCTACTGCCATAAGACTGTCCTTCCATGAGAAACTGGGATTAGCTGTTTTGCTGCCCTGGTGGCTTGGGGCATTTTTTTCCCCTCATAACATGATGTAGTGGATATGATGGCCCACAAAATATCAGTCTGGTTATTCTGAATATCCATTCTGTGAGTAGGGGAGGCTACTTGACATGTTATCTCCACAAACGCACAGTCGAGAATCTCCATTTGCTATGTTGTGAGATAAGGTTGAATTTATATTCACTGACTGAAATTCTCACAGTGAGAATAGTGTATGTTAATTTCATTGCTAACTATACCCGAAAAGGACAACGTTGTTGGCTGGCCAGGGAGGCGCATCCCATTTTCATGTACTGTGTGACGCAGGCAAAGTAAGGGCACAAAATGCAGACACACAGGCAAAAGTAAATATAAATGCAGCTTTATTGCTGAATTACCAAACATGTTAACCAAGGAATTCCCAAGGTAACTAAAGTTAGTGTTGAGATTTGAAATATATATTTTGAAGCTTATCTGCTGATTATATTGTTTTATATATAAGAGAGCTTTGAGTTTGAGTTAAAAGTACTGACGGGAAACGACATGCTTTTGCAAAACTAGGACCTGCAGCCAGAAAGTGAAACTAAGCAGAGTCTTTGTGTAACAGAGTTAGAAAATAGCTTAATGAATTTCCTCAAAATTGATGTGCTTTGTGAATAGTTGGAGCCACCTGGTGGACAAACACAGCTACTGCAACTGTTAAGGTTCCAAATTGCTGCACAGCACATGCTTCAGCAAGCTGGTGGTAGGTGCTAGTGAGCGATACTGTTGTCAATTTTGTAATTGTATTAATGAAAACACTCTTATAGTGGTAATTGTCAACATGTATTTTGATTGTAAGCAGTACTAGCATGTATCCTGAAAGTTACAGGCATTTTGATGCATGGGTAGTAACTTTATTCACGAGTAGCATTTTTAGTTAGCATGCTAAGCTAATACCCGTTAGCTAGTTGGGTGCTTTTTGACTTGCACTCAGCTCTAATGCTTCTCTATGAGATTGTAATTGTTCTAATTCTTTTTAACAGAACTGAATGTTGCAGTTGCTTTGCACATTGTTAATGAAGACTGTGTGCTGTTTTCTTTGTACCAGGTAGGCGCTGTTAAGTATAAGTTTTAATTGATGCTGTTGTATAGGAAAAAAAATGATGAACAATGATGATTGTTTTATAATAGAAAAGCTGTTTTTATATGTTATTGTTGTTGTTGGTTAGGAAAAATAATATTGCTACTATACGATCACAGGTTTGGTTTCAGCTAGAACTTTTAAAAGAAAGACTTTGTTGATGTTGTGTTGTATAAATATATCTTAGTCATTTGTTAAGTGTTATGTTTGGAAAGAAAAAAACTCCCAAGCTGGTGAACTGAATGTTGCAGTTGCTTTGCACATTGTTAATGAAGACTGTGTGCTGTTTTCTTTGTACCAGTTGCCAGAATAAAGAGGGAGCCCAGAGTAAGGGCAAGTCCAGCGTTGCAGTGCCGTCCTTTCTACATGGGCATATCACACCAATTGCACAATAGACTCACAGAATAGCAACAGCTACATTTGATCAAAACTTAAAGTGTGTGTGACATCTAGAGGAAGTATATAAATGACTAAGCTTCCTGTTTTGCTTCAGACTTTGGCTGACGTGTCTGTGTGTCTGCTGTGTCTCCATATTCCGTAATATGTAAAATTAAAGATAATTTTTTGAGTTTTGACCACTTTGAGCCTTGTGTCTTTTTTGGCCGTAAAGAATACAAAGAACGGGATATAATATTAGCTATTCTGAGCTATACCAAGTTATACTAAGTAGATGGCAGATGTGCACACAGAACCGACAGATGAGCTTACAGTAATTGTTTTACTTAGTGCACATCCTGTGATATTCACAGTTTATATTAAATAAAAGACTGTTTTCAAAACAGTTGGCTGTGAATAATAGCTCATAATAGATAATAGCGAAAATCAAGGTTTCTCATGCAAGAGACTGTTATTTAAAGTCCTTAGCATTTCAAATCATTGGGGAGAGTCTGCCTTCAAGTTATAAAACTGGTCTGCTTCAGACAGATGCCTTTTTTCTATAATGTGGAAGTCTTAAAAAAATACCCTAATCAAAAAGAAATGCTACTGTTACTAAAAAAAGAAATATCTGTGATGATGCTCCCCTTGTCACACCAACTCTGTAAAATGTATTAAAAATTTGACCAAAACATTATGAATTGAAATTCTAATAATGTATACTTTATTGATCCCCGTGGGGAAATTCCTCTCTGCATTTAACCCATTCACTCTGTGTGGTATGTTAGACAGTTATTTAACAAGCATGGTGTTAACACACTATAGGATCTATTCAGCCATATGGTATCTGTTTAAGTCTCGGTGTATTATCATATGCTATATAATTTTCCAGGGAATTAGACTCACCTTTCGCTGTTGTAATGGTTGATGGTGCTGTTGTAGGGCTTGGTGGTGGTGTTGTAGTGGTGGTTGGAGGTGCTGTTGTAGTGGTTAATGTTGTTGTAGTGGTGTTCGGACGTGCTGTTGTAGTGGTTGGTGGTGTTGTTGTACTGGTAGTTGGAGGTGCTGTTGTAGTGGTTGGTGGTGATGTTTTAGTGGTTGGTGGGGTTGTTGTAGAGGTGGTTGGAGGTGCTGTTGTATTGGTTGGTGTTGTTGTTGTTGTATTGGTTGGTGTTGTTGTTGTTGTATTGGTTGGTGTTGTTGTTGTTGTATTGGTTGGTGTTGTTGTTGTTGTGGTGGTTGGAGGTGATGTTGTAGTGGTTGGTGGTGTTGTTGTTGT